TATGGGCTATTTATTCCTCAAAATCACCCAGTGATGATAGTATTAATCCTAATTTTACAGATGAGGAAACTAAGACCTAATGAAATTAGATAACATGCGCATTGTCCCATAACTAGCAAATGGCTGAAGCCACAATTTGAACCAAGTCAACAGACTTCTGAGCCTATGCTTTTTTTAAAAATTGAGATATAATTGACATTTAACATTGTTATTAGTTTTAGGTATATCTGAGCCTATACTTTTAACCACTGTTTCACATTTGGTTTTTGTTTAATTAATACATTTAATAATATTCTTCACAACTCACATTTCTATTTATAGACTGATAAAGGCAAACATTATACATTTTGAAGTAATTTGTTTTCAGATTAATTTTATAACTTCCTCAGAAAAGTCAATGGTGTTTCATTTTCTTTTCCAGAGCTAAGTAAAATCCTTCATTTTATCTGACTTCAGATGTCTTTGATAAGATACACCATTATTTTATATACTGCTAAGGAAAAATGTCAAATAAACTGACTATAGCAGCTCTTCCAAACTTATTCTGACAGGGATGTCAATATATCTGTGTAACACTTCTGTGTATATGTAATATATGTAAGATAAATGGTTTAACATGTTCCTATAATTTCATAATATTCAAAGTCTAACTCGTCTGATTCACTATTTGACTCTATAATCTATGTCCACAGTTTTCAAACCAATATTATCTTTTGGGGGCTATCAGTAACACTGATGATTCAGTGTTTCTTTAAAAACAACCTCGTTCTTGTCCTTGAGATTTTCTTCTAAGCCACTGTTTATTAAAAGCCTTAATACTTAAATTAACATTTCAGTTTTAAACACCATATTTTCCAGAGTATGACTGAGTTATTTCTATTTCAACTACCGGGATTGTGTTTAAACTTATCATCAAACTTCTCTTTTTTTNTTAGAGCCTATCCTAATGAACTCATTTAACCTTAATTGCCTCTTTTAAGAGCTTATCTCCAAATATAATCATATTCTAAGGTACTGGGGGTTAGGAATTCAACATATTGATTTTGGGGGTGGAGGTTGGGGGTGTCAGAATTTAGCCCATAACACATAGAATTGAAAAGCCAGTCTGAAATGTAGAGATCATTTAGGATAGCACTATCCAGGAGAACTTTCTGATATGATGAAAACTTTATCTTTGCTGTCCAATATGGTAGACAGTAGCCATGTGTGGGTATTGACTACCTGACATGTACCTAATGGGACTGAGAAGCTGAATTTTTACCTTATTTAATTTTGAGCAATTTTAATTTAAATGGCCATATATAGCTAGTGGCTAACATTTGGACAGTGCAGATCTTGACTAATCTGTTTATTTGATATATGAAGAACTGAGATCAAAGTGGTTGCCAGACTAATCCAAGATCACACAAATAATTATTGAAACAATTGTTAAGTAAGCTGAGTTCTTAAATTCTTAATGGACTTTGCTCCCTGTATCCTATAAAATAAGCCTAGAAATATAAAATAGGAAATACCCTCCTTTTTGTTCTTTTTCCTGCTATAAAGATATGTGGTAATCTTACTGTATAGTTGTGAAACTTTTGACAAATGGATTTAAAAATAAATATTCAAAATCACTTTTTCTTTAATTTTTAAGAGGTTTGATATTTGCATATATCAAGTGTTTAAATTAGTTAATAAGATTTTCATTGTTGAATTGAAGGGTCTATTTAAATAAAACTCATCTCTATAGCATAAAAATTGGTAGGTGGTTTTTAAAAAATCTGTAATTCACTTAGAGCAGGTGAATCAGTGTATGCTTTGCTCTGAAAATCTGAATCGGGAAAAATCATTCCACAAAAGAAGAAATTAGAAAAGCTTTATTTTTAAGGCTAGAAGTGGGTTGTTAGAGTAATGGCTTAACTTATTATTTGATTTTGTTCTTGCATGTTTTGATGAAATTTTCTTAGTAAACTTTAGAAAAAATTTGTAACTTTTGATTTTAAACTGGTTTTAGACATATGAAAGTTTACGAAACCTGTGCAGAGAATTCCAGTATACCTGTCATCCAGCTTTCCTTAATGTTAATATTTTTCATAACCATAATATAATTATCCAAACCAGGAAAGTAACTTTGATGCAATACTAGTAACTAAACTACAGGTACCAGTTTTCACCAATGTCCCTATTTTGTTCTGGGAACCTATCCAGGATCCCACATTGCATTTAAGTATTTCTTCTTGTCTCCTCCATTCTGTTTCTGAGTCTTATCTCTTCTTGACACTTTTGAAGAGTACTAATCAGTGATTTTGGAGACTGTCCCTCAGTTTGGGTTTATAAGATGTTTTCTCATAATTGTAATGAGGGTTATGCAAAAATACCACAGAAATAACCTTGTCATGCTGATATGTCTTGTTATTAGTGATGAGCTTTAGCGATCTGGATAGAAACTATCCTTTCTTTTATACAACATATTAAAAATTACCATAAAATATCAATCTATCAAAACATTTGCTATGTGATACAGATACTTACCAAAAACCAAAATGTTGATTAAAGAAAACTGCTCTCATCACTAGTTAATGGGATGAGGTTAGAATTTCATTAATAGGAATAAACTGTTCAATAATGAGAAACAGACACCACCTTTTTCTTTCAAAATGAGGCAATTCTTTCTTCATTAGAAAGTTAAGAAAGTAATTATCAAGAGAGGGGTCTTCCTAACTAATAGAATTATCTTTGTAATAGAAAGTTGTCTTGGTTGAGATATTTAACTTTCGGTAACTTATCGAGTAGAACATTAAATGAGGAAAAAGGTGATTGCTTTAGTTTTGTTCTATAAGTGACAGTGGAATTCTATCAGAAATTGAGTCATTAGAATAGTTTCTAGGTCTAGCCTATCGTATGATCTGAAATCAATTTATTGCAGCAATTTTTTGTATTTTGTGCTTTTTAAAATTCTGAATAAGATAAATCAACAATTTCAAAAGAAATACTATATTACATATCCCAAACTTACTAACATTGAAGCCTCTTCATATGTTTTATATAAAGGAATGAAATTGTACTTCAGGCTTTGATGCTCTTATATAAATGCATTGCTAGGTTTTATTTGTAGATATTCTTCAGGATATAACATTTATTTCTCAAAACAGAATAGGTAGAAACCCTTCTGGAGATATCTGTGTGTGTGTCATGAGTGGAACTATTCCACATTAAGCCTACTGCTTTGGTACTTTTTAGGTTTTCACTTGCTAGGTTTTCTTCACTAGGAACATTGCGGTGAAATATTTGTGTTTTTACTCTTTTGGGGTTGTCTTTGAAACATTCATGGGCTATAAACCAAATGATAGAACCGAGTACTGCAGTTCTATCAAAGCAACAATATTCAGTGTAATGGACAGAATTTTCTTTTCTTTTATTTAGTTCAGCAATCAGCAAACACTGGGAGGCCGAACTGGCTACCCTCAAAGGAAATAATGCCAAACTTACTGCAGCCCTGTTGGAGTCGACTGCCAATGTGAAACAATGGAAGCAGCAACTCGCTGCGTATCAAGAGGAAGCAGAGCGTCTGCACAAGCGGGTGAGTGTGGGCTGCTGTCCATAGGGATTTATGGCCCACAGGTTTCCTTGATCAGAGGAAATTTATATGTAGATTCAGCAAAGGGACATCTTTTGGAGATTTTTGCTAGTTGTCAGAACATATATATGGGTTATATTATATGTGGGTTTATTGGTTAAGAAAAATGTTTTCCACAGTTTAATGAAGAATATACAACTTTTGGAATTGAAAGATCTGATTTTAAGTTCTTATTCTGTCATGTATAAGCTGTATGATATTTGGTAAGTTATTCCCCTCTTTCTGCTCAGTATTCTCATCTATAAAATAGGAATAGTAATACAAACTCAGCACAATTCCAGTGAAAATTGAGACACTGAATTG